TTTCTATCAATGTTTGATCCCAGGTATGAGAATCCTTTTACTATTTCTCTTTCCTCATTTTTTTAGGTTGATTTTATGTAGATTCTCCCTCATCGTTATTTTTGTTTTCTTTATGTTCAACACTAATCTCGTCCTTCCATTTTCTTCCTTGATCTTCCCTCTTAACCATGCTCAAAATGGAAGACATTTGGGAGTTCCTCTTGGGCAGAAGGCTGAAATGGAGATGTGTCCTGGAAAAGGAGGACACCTGATCACCCTGGCCTCGCCATGTGCCTGCCTGCCTGCCCACTTGCGGAGCTCTGGTGTGACAACCAACTACCATTCCCAGAATTCCATAGCATTGAGCCATAGCAGTTAAAGTGGGGTCCAAAGCAGATTATTTTTGCAGTGCAGATGCAACCATCACAGAGAAAGTGAACTGCTTTCAAGTGCCAGGTGGCTTGCCCCCCCCCCTCACATACATACAAAATGGGGGAGACAGCAGGGTGACCAAACATCCCCCTTTGCTTGGTCATGTTCTCCATTACAACCTTTTGTCTAGGAAAAATTCCAAAATGTCCTCCATTTGGAGCATCACTAACAAGCATGAATTGATATTTACTGTATATGAGTGTTTTTAGGGTGGTTGTTTTTTTTTTTTGCTCATGTTCTCTATTTTCCTGGAATGTCCTACATGTTAAGGTGCCTTGTCCTCCTTTGCATTTAGGACTTCTGGTCACCCTGGAGCCTCAATAGGAGGTGAGAAAGGTGACTGGGAGACCAAAAGATCTCTAAAGGTGCCTCTGCATTCAGAATTTGTGGGAGACTTGCACTGAGGATTAGGACTATTTACATGTAACCCAGCTGCTGCTAGACCAGACTAGCAGCATCACTATGGGCCTTTGCAGACTGCCAGAAATAGTGCACATTAAATTGAGGCACTGCCCTGGCTCAGTGCTAGGGAATCATGGGAACTGTAGTTTATTGTGTCACCAGAGCTCTCTGACAGAGAAGGCTCAATGTCTCAGGAAAAAATACAATTCCCATGACTCCCTAGCACTGAGCCAGGGCAGTGCCTCAATTTAATATGCACTATTTCTGGCAGTCTGCAAAGGCCCTATGTCAAGTGGCAGGGAAACAACCCAATATCTTTGCACATGTGAGCAATCCCAATTCCCAGAGATGCACATAGATGCAGTTCCATAATGTGAATAGCAAACCCAGAATGTGTGAGATTATTCACATTGTTGTGCTAAAAAA